GCAGGTCCGATCCGGAGTGGCTTGAGCAGGAACGTGAGATCATGGACAGAGTGTCTCGTTGCATCACGTGGCACGTTGCCCCCATTGTAATGCTAGCCGCCAAATTCCGGGTTTTCCTCCACACTCTCGCCCTTCTCACTTCATCGAGATCCGAGTTGCTCGAGTTGTGCCAATCAGTGGTGAGTATTCATACCGACTACGGCACAGAGATAGGGCTTGGACGGGTTCAGCGATGCGATCTGGACACAATTCTCCCTTACCTGCATGTGCCAAAGCCTGTCTTCGTGGCGCAGCAGGAAGACGGTTTCGGGTGCTGCGAACATCAAGAGTTCAAGCCTTGTGCGGAGGATGGTTTTAGTATGGCTGTTGACAATTGTGAATCGGAGCCCGTGCCCAATCCCGAAGGATGTGACGTTGGCTTAGACCACTCCCTCGAAGGTCCCGACCTCATGCATATTATCCATAACATTACAACTTGGATGACATTATGGATTGCTACTCATCCACACTGTCAACTTTGAAGGCGCTTTGTTCATTACTTGCAGGCAGGGAAACAAAACAACAGCTGATTGAGACTTGTTTCCGTGAAGGGCCAGCCGCTATGTATCAGGAGGAGCTTCAATCATTTACTGCTGTTCCGCACGACAAACGATGGAATACCATAGCAGCTGCAATTGAGCACACCCATGCCCTCCAGGCTCCTCTCAGGCAACACTGGAGCCTACATCAGTTTCTGGGAAGAAGCAACGACGCCGAGGTTCCAGAACCCAGGCCAGCTGATGGACCGAGTGATGGTGAGGCTTTGGGTGTGAACTTGCGTGCGGTTGATCAAGGAATTTCCTCGGATTTCTTTTGGGGATCGATTACAGTGCTTCTGCAAATAGCACAAGTGCAGGCCGAGGCTGTAGTATGGGTTAACTCCTGCCCGTGTCACGCATGCTGGCAGCACAGCACAGACCCGAAGCTCCGGGCCGTGTTCGAGGCTTGCCCGCTTCGTGGTCGTAGGTGTGCCGAGATGGCAGCTGGCGACTTCTTCCATTTGCTGACAGGCTTGTTTGAGCAGAATGCAAGTAAGCTGGAACTCATGTTGCCTCGTGGTCTTGAATCGAGCGAGATTGCACAGTTGATGAGAGACTACGATATTGCGAGACAGCATCTCTTGTGTACGTATGTGCTGAAATTAAACTTCTGGCAACACCTGCCGCACGCCTTAGCCGGCCTTGCCCACAGCCGGGCAGAGGTCCGAGTCAAGTGTGTGCAGCGGTGCTTGGCATCGGACAGTCAACACCCTCGCATTCTTGAGCTGAAGAAACAGTCCGTAGTGGCAGAAGTGTTTTGTGAAGGCGGAGGTGTGTGGCAAGAGGATGCAATCTTTGATTCACTCAAGTGTATAGCAGTGCAGATGAGATTGATGTGGACATCAGCATGGAGGGTTGAAGGCCAGCACGCAAGAACCAAACGAGCAGCACAAAATGCTCCCCACCACAGTGCAGCATACACAAGTTTATCCCATCGTTTGCCTGAGTTACAGCAGCACCTGGCTGCACACCCAAGCGCTGTAGACGAACTTGCTCGCTTGATGGATCGTGTCACCAATGGCCCAGCAGCAGTGAAACTGTTGGGCTTTGATGATGATATGGTGAGATTGGCTGGGTGGGTTTCTCCCACAACACTGAAGCACAAGAACTGGGCGTTCCGAGTGATTTATCACGATGACCCCCATTCTAAATATACGCTGCAACTTCCCATAGCCTTGCCCCAAAGACGCACAACGTGCCGCGAAGTCGTAGCCCCTGCCGTTTCTGCATTGGAAGACAGCCGAGACATCGAGATGAGCCTCGCGACTGGCTCAGTCATGCTGCAGCAGAGCCTAGCTTTCCAGGATGTGCGGCAAGCAATCACGCGAAAGACATGGCTGAGTATGCAGTTTCGATCGAAGAATTTCCATTTATTGACTGCCCTGCTATCACCCAGAAAACAGCAGATCCCAGCCCTGGCCCTTCAGGATGCCAAGGCGAAGGCTTTGGCTCTGCCTGATATGGGGCAATCGCAGCCTCTTTCAGAGCTGCTACTTGGGGGAGGCTCCGCTTTGGCTGAAGAGTTTGTCATTGCGTCTGTGACACATGAAGCGCCAAGTCGCTTTCGTCGTACGAAAGTGGATGATGAAGCGTCTTTGAAGGGGGTGTGGTTTGTTCAGTTGCATACCATTTTGCATGTTGATGTGGCAAGCAAGCGTATCTTTGCCTCACTAGGTAGTTCCCCGGCAGGCAATTCTGATTCCGAGAACCAGCCTTTGGCACTGCATGCTGCAAACATGACTCTGCAAGAAATGCTGCGCCTCTATATTTGGGAGACGGATGACTCAGAGCTGGTGCATAGGTTTGACAACCAGTTTATGGCTTCTGCTCCCACGGAGGTAAAACCATTCTTGACAGAGGCCCTGGCATTGTTGTTCAAGTCTCCTCAGGGATTAGTGATCACAGGCGATGTAAGGAGTGAAGTTGTGGAAACTCTGGATTATCTTGCATCAGTGTCGTTGTTGGAGGGTCCGCCGTGGAAGCTTTCGGATCTTGGTCATGAGCGTGTAGTGCAGTGTGTCGTGTTGCACAAGCAACATCAACTTTTGGCCAGATCCACAGGGCCTTTATCTGAGGCAACCCTGTTCCAACTGGTACAGCATCTTCAAGACAAGGGCTGGTCGCATGAAGTCGTTACACGCCAAAGACACAAAGAGCTCAAGAAAACAAAGTATGCACACACACTAGCTGCTGAGCCCAAGGTTTGGTTCACATGTGTGGGTTGCGAGACAGTCTGCCGTGAATATTTGTTGTGCCTTCTTCGCTTGCATGATGAAGATGATGATCTACAAGAGGTCCCATATGGACAAGTTGTCAGACGCTACAGGATTCTGTTGGGATTGGAAACTGAAGCAGAGGCTGTTGGCAGGCCACGCAGAGCAAGATTTCGTCACTTGGCCGAGGATGCCGCTTAGGAGGAGCCTGAGCCCAATCCTGCTCTGAATCCGCTGCCGCGGCCCAGAAGGCGATTTGCAAGGAGGGTTCGTAGGGAAGAGCTAGACGACGATGCTGGTCCGGATGATGTTTGTGTGGACGACCTAGACGAGGATGGTGCTGATGATGATGGATTGCCTTCTGATGCTGAGCCAAGCCTTCCAGACTCCGATGTCGAGTCCAAACCTGAATCTTGTGGCTCGTCATCATCATCATCTTCAAGCAATTCCTCATCTGGCTCAAACAGCGGCAGCAGCAGCAGCAGCAGCAGCAGTTCCGGAGCGTCCCAGTCGGCAGCAGCACCCGAAATGCCAGTACCCCCAGCAGAAGCAGCTGCAGCAGCTGCGGCCGCAGCCCCAGCAGAGCTCCTGCAGCCCGCAGCCAAAAGGGTCCGACTGATGGACCGGTCAGAGCACTGGGGCGGTCATATCATCACGCCGGTTGGTCCCGTTGGTCAAGCGCCAAAGCATTTTCAAATTAAGTGCGGCTGGCCTGGTCACAACACGGAGCACGCTTGCACTAAGAAGCGATCTCTGCAGTTTGGAGGCCGTGAAGAGGTACTTCACTGCCTCAAATACTGGGCAGCTTTGGGCAACACCTGTGAAACGGCTGAAGATCATTTGCAGCTCTGGAATGTAGTAGTCATCCCAGCTTGGAAAGATGGGACGATGCCGCCCTTAGAAGACTTGAACAGCTCTGTGGAAGACAACTGATTCTAGCGCATCCTTGTAATAGCTCAATCCCAACGGTATGTTCTGAATTCTGAAGCTCTGAACTTTTCTTCCACACTTGCTGGGGCAGCAGAAGCAGAAGATTCAGCAACTAGGATCCCGCTTGTACGGCCGTGCAAAACAGAGGGAAAGTGTGAATCATTCAAATGCCGGTGGATGGGAGCCATGATATGATTCTTTGCCGAGTCGCATAGGTCAGGTTTCTGGCCGACACAGGAAAGATGGTTCTGCTGGCTTTTGTACTTTGGGAGAGTTGAGCACTCCGTGCTCTCGCGCGCACCGATTACTGGCCCAGGGCTCAATTTTCACTAAATCTCTTTGCGCCAGTCTGAATGCCGATTTGGGCTTGTTTTCAAGCAAAACTGATTCTTTTCAGCTCTTCTCCAATATTTCGCAGCCGTTGCCATTTTGTGCCATTTTGGGCCCATAAGCTATGCTCTCTGGCTCCGGGCTTTCGTGCGCTTTCGTGCGCTTTCGTGCGCCCTCTCCGGGCCTCTCCGGGCCCGTCTGTGGGGCTGAGCCAGGGCCTGCCCGGGGCCCTTTGGGAAGGCTTGGGGCGCCTGGCCTGGTGGTAGAGGGAGGGGCCGGGGCTTGGAGATTTGATTGATTTAAAGGGCCCAGCGAGGGCCCAGGGCCCAAATGGACACGGGCGACCGAGACCGTCTTTCGTGCACTTTCGTGCGCTTTCGTGCGCTTTCGTGCGCTTTCGTGCGCCGGCTGGGTTGGGTCGCCGCGGCAGGGGTTTCCCTTAAATTCGACCAATTTCATCAATTCGGCCCGGTTTGCTTTGTTTTCCTTGGATGGCTCCTTTGTCGGCGCGTGTGCTCTTCGTGCGCTTTCGTGCGCTTGGTTTTGGGCTGGAGCGGTTGGGCGGGCGCTCAAGTGAATCTGAACTTGGGCTGTTTTGGCCGTGCTCAGAATTTCTGCTTTCTCAATTGGAACGCACAGAGCCAATGGCTGGCGGAGAAGTTTGCATGGGCCAGTGTTGTCTATCACTGTTCCAGTCTATGACTCTGTCATTGAATCATGGGAGGTTTGTTTGAGTTCAATAACGACAGGAAATAGTTTCGGAAGTTGTGGAAGTGAATGGTAGGACAATGATCATGCACGTTGCACGCTGTTAGGTTCCGCTGGTCATATCCCAGGCAGCCACAGCAGCATCAGAACTGTCAGGCGATGATCGTGGTGGCTGTGACAGCTCAAAGCCCAGGATTGTTTGTGAGGACTTAGGCAGCTTAGGCAATCCAGCCTCCCTGAAATGTCGAGTCTTCTGCCACCTGATGAATGGTCTGAAGCCATCGGAAACAGCCTTGACAGCCCCTCCCTGTTGCCACGTGAACCCCCGCAGCTTGACAGATCGCCTCTGAAAGGCAAAAGGTACCGGCATGGCTCCCTTGCAGACCTTGTTTCCCGTCGCAATCTTCCACCCGGGCCAAGGGACTTAGGAGAGCTTCTCAACTACCCGCTGGCTGTGGTGCAGGTGCTTTTCTCTGATACCAACCGAGCCCATCGTTGTCTCGCCTTGCTCTCCCAGGGTCTGACCGATCATTCTGATTATTCAGGCATTGGGGCCGAGCGTGAAGCTAAGCGACTTCTACTTCAGGTTTTAGCTGAGCAGTACTCTGTGAGTGTGGACTATGAGTACACGAAGTCGTGTGACATTGATCCATGTTGCCAGCAAGTCCTGTGCCACATGTCTGCTTGTCTGGACAACAATGCGTCTTGCGTCTTTGCTGATATTCGAGATCAGATTCCTGAGGAAGGTCGGGGCTTCTGCTCGGAGCTGGAGCCAAATCCCGGAGACACTTGGTTGTCTCGTGAGGAAGTAGAAAAGCACTACAGCGACATCAAAGCCTTTCTGTTGAAGAACAGTGAGAGGCTGGTGAACGAGGACCGGGATCCCGTGATCCCACGCATGATTCAGTGATGGTGGGCGAGGTAGCTCCTTTGGGTTTCTGTGTTTTGCTGCCAGCTGCCATTCAGTATTTCAATTAGCCGCCTGATCTGTCATGCAGGATCACCGAGCATACTGCCTGGTGCATGACAGAGACTGTGTGGTCAACAAGCCACGCTCTGCCCTTCGAAATCCGGAGTCGCTTGTGATCGCGAATGCCGGGAACTGTTGCCAAGGCTGGAGTTCCGAGGGAAAGCGAGCAAGGGGTGCGCACCTGTCCCAGGTTCCACTAGCGATGTGGGTATGCCAGCGCAAAGCACTTGCTGCAAAGGGTCAAGAGGACATGTTCTTCCAAGAGTGTACTCCGTTGTTTGATATTGAGGAGCATCTGATAGGCCCCCTTGAGTCCTCGCATCGGGTTGTGCAAGTGGTGGCAGGGCCACGGCTTCTAGGGTGGCCAGCTTCGCGAGATCGCCGCCTCTCCGCGGGGCTTAGCCTGGAGTCGCTTGTGTGGGTAGGGCCCACCACAGCAGAAGGAGTCCAGGCAGATTTTGAGAGTTTGTTCGCACGGCGCCCGGAGCTCAATGGCAGCATCTTCCTCCAGGAGGATGAAGGAGTGGTGACTGATTGGTGCTTGGAACAGATGCACAAGAAAAGGTCCCGCTTCTGTGACGAGATCCCTGAAGGCAAGGATCTTTTGCGTGCTCTTCTTCCGCCAGGCCAACTGCAGCGGGCAGAGCAGTATGATAGAGAGAAGAGCAACCATGCAGCCTTGGATGGAACAATGTTCTGTGATGTTGAGCACTGGTTGAATAGCCCGGGACCTCATTGTGGGCCTATGCTCCCGTGCTTGCTCACCCATGGCACGCTTGTGGAGTTGAGCAGGTACAGATTTGTCATGCCGTCTGAACGATTTTTGTCCCTTGGGTTTCACAGCATAGCCGGAGTAAGCGACACTTATTCCTGGCCACTTGCAGACTTCGTCCTCGCTCAGTCGGAACGCACAGTGAAGCATCAGGCGGGCAACAGCCAGTCTTTGCCTGCCATTTTGGCATGGCAATGCTATGTGCTTTGCAACACTATTCGGCGAGAGAAATGCAGAATGTCCCGGATGGGCTCTGCTGATTGTGAGCATGACGATGATGCTGAAAGTGAGGTCTTGCCGGCATAGCACGTAGACCGTAGACTCGAGCTTGAATTTCAATTTTGAGGCTGCTCATGTGTGCTGGGTAGAGTCGGGTAGAGCATGAAACTATCCTTTCAGTGTCATACCGACAATAGCTAGCACAGTCAAAGGTCACCATGAGCTCTCATTCCATCAGCCTGACCTGACAGGTGCTTTAGAGTCCCTCCGAGGTGTCTTTGCTGCTTCAAAACCAAACTTTGAAACGCTCTCCAAGTTCGCATGCTGCATGCTCCTGCAGTTTTCAAGCTGTAAGCTATCAGTGTGTTCAGTGAAGTTCAGTGTGTTTGTTAGTTCCGTGAAATGCCAGATGCTGATCCTACTTGTTTGCGATGGGAGGCTCGAGACTGCTAGTCGTTAGCCTGTTCTGTTTGGGCTTGTTGCACATTAGGTCCGGGCGGGTCGCTTGCGATATTGCGCCATGATCCAACAGCTCCTACGCCGGGGCCGGGCTTTGATGCAGGATCTGGATGTGGAATGCCAGGGAAAGTTTGTGCGAGTCAGAGAGAGAGAGAGAGAGAGAGAGAGAGAGAGATAGAGAGATAGAGAGATAGAGAGATAGAGAGATAGAGAGATAGAGAGATAGAGAGATAGAGAGATAGAGAGAGAGAGAGAGAGAGAGAGAGAGAGAGAGAGAGAGAGAGAGAGAGAGAGAGAGAGAGAGAGCGCGACAGAGAGCGAGAGCGAGAGCGAGAGTGAGAGTGAGAGCGAGGGAGAGAGAGAGAAGGGCGAGAGAGACAGGGACATATGGAGAGGGAGAGAGAGAGAGAGAGAGGGTGACTGTTATCCCAGTTCGCCACATCTGTCAGGAGTCACAGGAGTCACAACGCCGTTCAAGCAGCAACCGGGGTCGTGGCAGTGGCAGTGGTCATGAATCTAGTGACAAGATTCCTCGCTATGGTAACTTGGCGAGAAGTTTCTATGCCCTCCTTGAATGCCTCCCGAAGCAAGCCCTTCCTGACGACCCGCCCCGTGGGCAATTCCAGTATACATTGCGCTGGTCAGAGAAGGTTAGCATCAAGTGTGACTTACGTGGAAGTTTCCAAGTGCAGCATGAGTTCAAGCAGAAGAAATTCTCCTTCAATGGGGTGGGGGATGCTGTTGAGAAGTTCAAGCAAGCCAGCAGGCTGGCAAACGTGTGGAAGTCGTGCCCTCCTTGGGCTCCCGTAGAGCGTCATTTGTTTGAGGAAAGGGCCTTTGAAGCAAGAGGTCTCCTAGCTTTGGAGGACGCACCACGGCCACCAACCGCTGCTGCTGATGTTGATGCTGACGGGTCTGAATCTGACTCAGATTCTGACTCCAGTCCCTCTTTTGTCCCAGTCCCGTCATCACCGCCAAGGCGTTTGCACAGGCTTGCAGCCCGTGCAGAGATCGACATCGACACTGATTGTGACGGTCTTCGTGATGATGAAGTTGATGCAGTTGCTGGGGAGGCGTCCTCCGCGAGACGAAGGATGACAGCTTCAGCCAGCAACGGCAGCAGCAGCCGTCCATGTGTTCCTGCGACACAGGCCAAACCGTCTCGCAAGCGCACACATGACATGTGCTAGTGTGGCTGCGGCTGCGGGTTCAGGCTTTGGTCTCAGTCTCGGTGCTCAGTGCCCAGTGCATGGCTTGCTGATGCGATGATATGATGTCATCTGATGGAGTCGGAAGCTGCACCGCACCGATTTCCAGTCTTTGGCAACTCCATTCACATGCCCGATTGAGTCCGACTGAGAGTGCAGCCTAGGGTGGGGTAGCGGGGTAGGTAGGTCAGACTTATCGTGTGAACTCGGTCGTGGTGTTGCATATTGTTCTTGTCTCTTGTTGTTGTCGTACGGAAACTTGTGCGCAGAATGAAGGTGCCACGTGTTAAATGAATATTTGGGTTCTGTGTTCTGTGTTCACAACGATGTCTCAGTCTGTCCAGTTCCAAGAGTGATTCTTGGTACACTGTTTTGAACTGCTGGAAGCAGCAGCAGCTGCAAGCTTCTGTACAACCCAACGTGGGGTGGTGCTGGCCCTGGCAAAACCTTTTAGCCTCGAGCAGCCTCGAGCTTGATGTTGAGCATATCGTGTGGTGCCTGGTGTCGATTCAGTGTGTAGTGCGTGTTGTGTAGTTACAGCGTAGTTTAGGCTGTTGGTGCGAGAGGTAGACCCCAGTCTTGCAATGAGATTCGTAGGCCACACATTTGGAATTTGGAATGCATTGGTCCGCTGCTGTCCTTTGCTGCATTATATGTAATCTAGTGTCTGCTGCATGTTTTGTTTTGACCAGCTGAACCTTTTTCCTCAAGGCGGTAGTGTTTGTTGTGGATTGTGGGTTGTGCCAACCATGGATGCAGTTCCCGATTTCTTTGAAGAGCAGCCAGAGGAGCCTGAGACTGTTGAGGAGCCTCCTGAACCCCACGCGAATGGCCGTGGCAGGGGCAGGAATGGAAGGGGGAAAGGAGCAAGACAGGGAGCAAGTACACGGGGATCCGGCAGCCGTGGAAAGGGGCCAAACAAACGGGCCACGGCAAGTACCTGTATTTGCCCGAAGTGCACGGCTCCCAAATACCCAGGCAGCCGGTTCTGCTCGCTGTTCCATCATAAGAAAGCCTGGGACAACATGATCTACCAACGTAAGTCACGATCCATAACCCAGGAACAAGCCGATGCATTCGACGAACGCATGAAGATAGACCACGAAGCGGGCAAGGAAGTGGCCCAATTCGCTCTCGATAACCCTCCGGAGCTTAAAAAAAAGGGGTTAGTTGATTTTCAGCGCTTTGTGCGAACCAGAGGAGAGCGTGTGGCCACGTGTCGGCAGGATGGCACCAGGCCCTACACGTATGCGGCCTTCATTAAGTATGCCGAGAATCGTGAGGGATTGTCAGAAGAAGATGGAAAGGAAATGTGGAACGAGTTCTACAAGGACAAGACCATCGAGCGAGACAACCTAGGTTGGCGAGGTGCCGAGCGCTTGTGGGTGCCGGTTCACCAACTGAAGATGAATGATCGCCAGCACTACGTGGACAACCAGGTCCAGGAGGGCAGTGACGAGATGCGTGCCCCAACGTTAGCGGATCGGCAGATGTTGCAGGACAGACCACATTGAATACACATTGAGTTCAGTTGCAGCTTCATTGTGCGATGATTGTTATATGAACACTGGAAACTCAACCTTTGAAGTACAGTAGCTGACTAGGCATCTTGCAACCAGTAACAGAACCCATGCCCCTTGTGTCAGGACCATCTTGCGCGCCAAGAGCTTGGCTTTGATGATGAACATTTTTCGATGACTGCGGCCCAGAAGAAGGATCTTGCGGATGGCCCCACGCTCGCTACACCAGTGAAGAACAAGGACGTCAAGTCTGAACCGGGTGGCGAGGCGGACCATCTCACCCCTGAAAAGGTGGCTGCTGTGAAGATTGGACGTGAGGGCCCTCAGCTTCATCGCGGCATGGAGGCTTCAATGAGGAAGATCCGGTCAGAGTTTCAGAAGCAGTTGCAACTGGCTGTTGGTGCAATGAAGAGCTACGCAGATCATCCTGCTGAGTTGAAAGCCAATGACCGTGCACTGCTTACATTCTGCCGCACCCTGCAGTTCAGGCATGAGCTTGGTGTCCGTGTAGCGGAGAGGGTGGGTGACATTCAGCTGATTGTGCCAGACTCTTCCATGTGTTCTGGTGCATCAGTGAATAGTCAGCCCGATCCTACTTCGGTGCAGGACCCGTCCAATGCCGATGCAGGTTCTGTCATCGTCCAAGAGCCATCAACGTCGCTGCTGGAGACGCGGAAGGCTCTCTCCTTTGAGGACTTCAGCAGAGAAGCAAGGACCATCAAGAACAAGTGCTGGGAGACGGACTCGCCACTGCAACCTTTGGACTACGTCCACGAGCTGATGGACAACGTTCTGGACGCGAAGGATCCTGAAAAGTTCTTGGTGCTGAAGCATGATTGGCAGAAGCTTGAGAAGATGTTCCAGGGTATTGCAAAGGGCATCAAGCAGGCCGCAGACGACGTCACGAAGCACATGCGGCTCAAGGTAAGTGAACAAGCTCGGGAGAAGAAGCGCAAGGCCGATCAGGATGCACGTGACAGTTTGAATAAGGTCAAGGAGGAAGCAAAGAGACAACAGGATGCAATCAAGAAGCGAAAGCTCGCTTTGGACGCTGAGGAAACGAAGCTGTACACGGCTGATCTTCAGCCAACCGTTGTGCCGCTTGTTAAGGCGGTGGAACAGCTCGGGGCTGAGGGTGACCAGTGGAAGTTTCCGTGGCTCGTGGAAGGAAACGAGCAGCTGGAATTGCAGTTTGCAGATGCGGTTCTGCAAAAGGCGCTGCCTACATGGGCAAGTCAGTACAAGAAGCTCCTGAACCAGTCAAAGCCAAAAGTGAGCATCGTGACGTACCCTTTGGAAGAAAAGCAGGGAAGGAAGATTGTCAACGAGTACCTGGCGACGTTCATGAAGAAGGCCGTTGACATCAGCGAGGTGACAGGCGGCCCAAACTTTATGGACACAGTTTGGCTCTACGGCGTTGCGGGAAATCACCGCTCCATGGCGTTCTTGCCGAACTTTGCATCGCAGACCCGGGTGCAGCTGATGGGTGAGAACCGCTTCCTGATGTTTGAGTGGGCTACTTTGACGGCGGCTATGGCCGAGGAAGCAAAGGCTGGCGGCAAGGAGCCCAAAGAGATGACAGCGATGTGTGAAGATTTGAAAACGGCCAATGCGGACCGTCTTGCCGGTCTTGTCAAGTACGGTGCCACAGTGCGGCAATGCACCCTGAAAAAGAACATGCTTCTTTTCATTCCTACGGGATGGCTTGTGGTGGAGATTGCAAGCGAGTCCCCCATCAACTACGGGTGCCGCAAGAGTTGGTTTGATCCTGTCAATGTCCAGAGGTATGCGGCCTCAATCAAGATTGCAAAGGCCACTGGTTTGCCCGACAGCAGCATCGACCGCATGAGCAAGATTCTTGAGATTTTGGCCAAAACGGCCAGGTAGATTTTAACAGCTTGAACTTCAAAGCTTTTTGTTCTTAAGTCACAGTCGCGGGGCGGCAGCGGTAGTGTTGTTTGCGATGCTCCGATCTTCATGCTTTCGGAGTGGGAGCCAATGTGAGACCACTGCAAGCAGTGGCATTCGGTGCTACCGGTGTGCTGAGCTCGGGTGACCCTGAGCCTAGACAGAGACGCGGAGGAAAAATCGCCCGGGGGCTTGGATTGGGGATGTAGGCTGGGGTTTGGCGATTAATTTCAACCTTACAAGCCGTAGACTCCTAATACCCAACCCCGTCAACCCTAATGGCTCAATGGCTCAAGCTCAATGGATGCTCAATGATGGCTCGATAACTCAAGTTAGCAATTGGATTGCGAAGTTCGTCTTGTGCGCCTTACCCGCCAAAATGTGCATCTGCCACTCTGGCATCCCAAACATTGGCTCCGCATGTGGAAATCTGTCTATTTCATGCTGGTCTCGTGAACTTGTTTGTGAAACCCTCCCCCGGCTACTTAGTGAAATTTGCTAGCAAGCGTGCAAGGGCAAGCCGAAAAAATGCTTTGCGGCGCGCCTAAGAACAACTGGAAAAAACAGGCAAAGCGTGCTATTTTTCCTGAGTGCTGTGCGTTGCGTCGCTGGGCCAATGGCCATGCGTATGTGCCGTGCTAAAGGAAGTCCACCAGTGCACGATCACATGTTGCAGATTCTGTGCTCGGGTGGCTTATGCAGATAATGACGGGCAGGGTATGCCCCCGCCGCCAAACGAGTGAAGGGCGGCCGTTTAAAAATATAAAATCTGGCCGTTGCTGAGCAATGCGAGTGCGATGCCAAATAAGACGATCAGTCACCAGAACGTTGCGGATGCTGTGGTGGTTAAGCAGTGAGATGATGCGGAACCAGGCGCGTAGGTCGTCTGCTAAGCTGCTATGCAACACAAGGTTGCGCGAGGCTCTGTGCTAGGCTCCCTTTCTGGTTCAGGCGGTGCGGGGCAGGGTGTCAGTGCTGAAACGTATCTGCAGTGCTGTTGCCACAAAACGCTGCTATGCCAATTGCCAATAATGCGCTGCAAGAGTTTTGCTCGGGCGGCACGCCAAGAGCTGAGCAGTTCAATGCGGCGCACTTCTTTGCGAGTGCGTTGCGGGCCCAGGCACACAATGCCGGGGGCAATCAATGCGGGGCCTGCAGAAAAAAGCGACGCCATGCTTAATGAATCTTGTGCTTGCCAGTGCGTAAGCTGTGCGGGGTTGACAGCGCAATGCCAAACACCAAAGAAAAAATGCAGTGCTTTGCGTTTGTGCCAGCCATCAGCCAACCAGGTCAATGCGTCATCGTCGGTCGCTGAAGATGCCATGCTATGCTGTGCGGTCAAGAAGGTAGTGCAGTGCCACTGTGCTGTGCAGGTTTGTTGTTAGAATTTGGCGGTCTCTAGGCGTGAGATCCCATGTTCCTGACATTCTGCGGTGCACTGTGCTATGCATGAAGGAGAGCTCTCGCCTATCTGGCATCTTGAGAAAGCGGAGCAAAATGCTTGCAGAGCGTTGCGAAAGAAAAACTTCTGGCAGACTGCCCGAAATGTATTCTGCGGCCAGGAAACTCACTGCTCAGATGCAGCAGTGCCTCGACCAGAGTTGCGGTGCTGTGGTTGGCGGGCCGCGGCTCTGGAGTAGCAATGCGTTGCTTCTTATTGCCTTGGCGGTGCGACATGGCGTATAGCAGAGACGGCTAAGTAAGCTATTGACAGCGCTAATCAACCTGAGGACTGCAAAGCCAGGCGGTGCGTCAAGAGGAAAAATGATTAGTCCATTTCCTCAAGAAAGATGGCTGCATCAATGCACTGCGGCGCGCCTTCTAAAAGTGCAATGCGGTGCTCGAGACTGCCAACCTTGGCCAAGGCTTCCTGCAGGCGGTGCAAAAGTGCATCTATGCGTTCATGCAGGGTGGCACCCATCTCTATGCAGTCTTCTGCAAGGCTTTGCAGTGCGCGGACCAGTTGGTCCGGCGTTGCGGCCTCGGGCGGGTCCATGGCGTCGAGATGGAGAAAAACTGCCATGCAATGCGAGTAACAGCAAGTATGTTAAGCGAGCTTGTTTGAAAAAAGCTTGTAAACATGCGATGCCAAGCGTGATAAAACTAGTTGTGAGTGACTTGTGCCGAAATGCAGTGCGAAGCAAAAGTTACATTCGAAACAAGAACATAAAACACAGTTGATACCAAAATACAAACTCACAACTAGCCTTGAGCTGTCGTGAACTCGATACCAAGCAGCTCCAGCCCAAGGCTGCAAGCTGGCAGATTGAAACGTGATCGTTAACGATGTTTAATACCAATGAAGGTGTATTTATTGGCACCTTCTTGACAACTGTGAAATTTCCAAGGGAAACGTGTTGTGGAAATATTTCTGGTTTGCTGAAACAAGGGATGTGGAATCAGTGAAGGCTTTGGCTCAAACCCTCCCTGTTATTTCCGCATATCTGTGGAGCTCTTCTAGCTTTGTTTGGCTCCGCTACGATCACGCCCGCACCCACCCATGCCCACGCCCATGCCTGCCGGCCCCGCACACCGCCTTGCACACACTTTCTCAAAGAGGTTCGCGCTCAGTGCTGGCTCTAATCACTCACATGTTGCGCGAAATACCTGGTTGTATGTTTGAATGAAAACTGCTCAGTCGATGCAACCGTTTTTTGGCTTCAGCAGGCTTCGTTGATTGCGGCAGCAGTGCTCAGTCCCTAAAACCGAACAGAGCAAACTCTATCAAACAACTTGCAAACAAGGTGAAACTGAAGCAAAAAATGGCAACAACTGCGGCGTGCGGACTCAGTCAGCACTAACCGTTCAGCATCAATCCTTGGCGCCTCAGCAACCGGTCAGAAGCCACAATGGCCCGCCCAAAACAACAAGTGAAGCCCAAAATCGAAGCTTCGGCCACGGTTCGGCAGACAACGGACGACGCCTGCGTTTTGTTTTCTCACGATCGTGCACACTCAAGTCCAAGTGCAGCCAGAACCTGAGCAGGAGCTAGGGTCGCAGGACACCCAAGACTGAGTACCCACGGGAAAAGGTCTCTGGGGCCCTGCCACGCCCCAGCTCTCGCCTTGGGCTTCCCAGGCTCAAGAGAGCTAGGGCCCTTTTTTGCCCCAATATGGGGAGGTGTGGGAAACCTCACGCCAGTCGTAGGCCTAGGCTCGACCCGTCTCACCCCTGACTCTGGCCTCTGGCCGCACAGCTCGCGCTCTCGAGAAGAAAATCCCATTTGACCTTGGATGTTCTGATGTTTTCGGCATGCCTGAAGCTGTTAGGAGTGCTTTTGAGTTAGGTCAGTGACTGCACGTTTGTTTCGTCTCGTTTCGTTAGTGCTTGAAGTGTTTTGCTTGGAGACAGACAGCTGCAAGGTGTTTCACTGTCAGTCAGAGCCCGACGCGACTCCGCTTTGGCTCAAGAAAAAGACCGAGTGCTGCGCGCTCTGTTTTTCACATTCTACGGACCTTGGAGAAAATCAGTTGCAGGGAGCGCATTTTTCAGCAATCAAATGTGGGTCTGAGAGGCTTGGGCCAAAGTGAAAGCGAGTTAAAGCAGCAGACTTGGATTTAAGAGCCTGTCGTTTCTGGCTCATGTGGCTTCAAAAAAGTAAATTTGTGGCTTTGAAGTGACCTCGAAACCACAGGTTTGTGGCGTCTTGTGGCCTTTTGTGGCCTCAAAACCACACGTTTGTGATCTGTTGTGGCCTCAAACCAGACTTTGTGGCCCGGATATGGCTTCAAAACCACACCTTTGTGGGCTGGGCCTCCAAACCGCACGTTTGCGCACCTGATGTGGCCTGAAAACCGCACGTTTCTGGCCGGATGTGGCCTCCAAACCGCACGTTTGTGGCTCTGATGTGGCCTGAAAGCCACACTTTTCTGGCTCTGATGTGGCCTGAAAACCACACGTTTGTGGCCTCTTGTGGTCTCAAAACCACACGTTTGTGGCCTTGATGTGGCCTGAACCACACGTTTCTGGCTTATGTGGCCTGTAAAACACACGTTTGTGTCCCTGATGTGGCCTGAAAACCACACGTTTGTGGCCTCTTGTGGCTTCAAAACCACACGTTTGTGGCCTGTTGTGGCCGTGTTGTCTCACTGGGTAATTTTCCCGAGGAAAAATTGCATTTGTGGCCGCGGGGACTCGGAACCTTATAATACTATTTAAGGGTCCCACACGCAGCAGACTAGCGAGATGAGGCGCCCTGATGTGGCCTGAAAGCCACACGCTTGTGGCCCTGATGTGGTCTGAAAACCACACGTTTGTGGCCTCTTGTGGTCTCAAAACCACACGTTTGTGGCCTCCAATCCGCGCGTTTGTGGCCTTGATGTGGCCTGAAAACCGCACGTTTCTGGCTCATGTGGCCTGAAAAACACACGTTTGTGTCCCTGATGTGGCCTGAAAACCACACGTTTGTGGCCTCTTGTGGCTTCAAAACCACACGTTTGTGGCCTGTTGTGGCCGTGTTGTCTCACTGGGTAATTTTCCCGAGGAAAAATTGCATTTGTGGCCGCGGGGACTCGGAACCTTATAATACTATTTAAGGGTCCCACACGCAGCAGACTAGCGAGATGAGGCACCAGATCAGAATTTTAGTCCAGTGTTTTTCCGAAGTCGCATGTGTGTTCCGTTGTTTCGGCCTTAAAAGCACGATTTGTTGTTCCTGTGGCCTGGCAGTGCGGCCTCTGCCAATGTTGACACAGCCTGCTTCGAAAACCACCCTCCTCACACGATGGCCAAGCTTGGCATGCGAGTAGCAGCAAGGAATGCTGGACTTGTTGCTCTAACTGTGGTATCTTCTTTGTGTAACCTTTGTAATTCACAAAAGCCCGAACCCAGGTCCAGAAAACCCTGGTCCGCGGTCGGTTTCTGGGCTAAATGCTAGGGTCCGCACAGGTCCGCGCCGGATCTGCCGAGAAAGCCGTGGTCCGTGCGAGGTTTCTGAGCCAAATGGCAGGGTCCGCGCAGGTCCGCGCCGGATTTGCCGC